CACATGGGCGTGATGTGTTTTCGTTGATGAGGCAGTGTGAATAGACTGCTTTCTCTGTGTGTCTCTTTTATAGGAAGGTTGAAGCCAAGGAGGTGAATAAGCCAACGCCTCTTATTCTGGATGACAAGGGCAGAACTGTGGACGCCAGCGGAAAAGAGGTTGAACTCACACACCGTATGCCCACACTGAAAGGTATGTGTACAGTGGTCTAATACTTCAATTCAATTCAAATTTATTTGTAAAGCGCCAATTCATAACAGAAGTTATCTCAGGACACTTTTCAAATAGAGCAGGTCTAGACCATACTTCTTATAACATTACATAACTTGGTCTATGTAGCGAACATTCGAGCGGTAAAGAGGGAGCAGTTCCGTCAGCAGCTGAAGGAGAAGCCTGGGGAGGACTTGGAGTCCACATCCTACTTCGACCAACGTGTGTTCATTACACCAGCTCAGCGCCCCCGCAGGGCCTTCAAATTCCACGATCAGGGGCGCTTTGAGAAGATTGCACAAAGAATTAGAACTAAGGTGGGATTCGACTACTAAACTTGGACTAGCCATAAAATTAAAACATGGTTAGAAGGAACTTAACATGTCTTTTGTCCATCCTGCATTGTTCTTGACCTCAACCAGGCCCAGTTAGAACGGTTGCAATGTGAGATTGCTCAGGCAGCAAAGAAGACAGGAATCCAGGCATCCACCAAGCTGGCACTGATTGCCCCCAAGAAAGAGATTGGAGAAGGGGAGGTCCCCCACATTGAGTGGTGGGACTCCTTCATCCTGCCCTCCAACATAGACATGTAAGAAACTACACCCAGGAACTTAAGCACTTTGTATTCATTACTTATTAATATTAATTCATCTTTATGTCCATAAATAATAATGCAGTTTGTATATATATAGTATTGTAGTTAACTGACATGTTTTTCTCTCTTTATTTTATGAAGAACACCCGACACAAAATTTGAAGGCATGGAGCTCTTTGGTGTGACCAACCTGGTGGAACATCCTGCCCAAATTAGCCCTCCAGGTAAGTGTGTTGATGGTAAAAAGTCTGCACACTGGTAAAGCTGCTCCCATAGTATGTGTCAAACACTCAGAGATAAATACAAACTGGTGAAATCTACAGTTAATCGCTTTTTAAATTAAGTCAGATTTAAAAAAAATTTAAAATATACAATTTATCATGATCAGTACTGTTCCCAATTGTCAAATGATTGTACTGCAGACAACTGTCTTCTCAATATGCCTTTATAGTTGCCTGCTCTATTTTTCGAAAGCAATCGTACATACCTACATAGAGGTACTATAATTGTGCACTTATTAAGGTATACCAGGGTGTTTAGAAATCTTGATGATATGATTTTTAATACAGTCTTAAGAACAGACTCTTACCTTTGTGTTGGATTGATCATATTTGATGTTTAGGTTGCTTATTTTCTATGTCCTCAATTTGAATTTGAGTGGGTATGTTTGCTCAAAAGTTGCTCTGTGCTTCATCTTGTAACATTAGTGGTGCTTCACATTGATGCCTTTAATAGTCTCTATGGTCTGCCCTTAAGAAGAATGAAATGCTCCAGCTCTGCAGAGCAGATTGTGCCATCAAGGAAGGTTGCAATTTAGATCTTGATTGAGATAATATTATTTTTTGGTCAGATCTCCCACTGCTATCCCCACAGTACCCTGTCTACAAGCCATTACACACCCTATAGATGTCTTAATGGTGTGTATTTCATTACTATCTAATAATTTGCTGAATTGATATATATATATTTTGTTCTTCTTTGTTTTCCTCAGTTGACACAGATAAACCAGTAACGCTGGGTGTATACCTGACAAAGAAAGAACAGAAGAAACTGAGAAGACAGACACGAAGGGAGGGACAAAAAGAAGTTCAAGAGAAGGTTCGTCTTGGACTGATGCCTCCACCAGAACCCAAAGGTACCCCCCCACACAAATCAATATTATTGCAAAGTACGATAGAAAGGATTAAACAAAATGTAACTGATGTCTCGCTTTCATTTTTTTAGTACGTATCTCCAACCTGATGAGAGTGCTCGGGACGGAGGCGGTTCAGGACCCCACGAAGGTGGAGGCCCACGTCAGAGCACAGATGGCCAAGAGACAGAAGTTAGTAGCACAGTTAACCCTTCACACTGCTTGTATCTCACTCTCTCCTCATTACTTACAGTCATTTTGGAAACTTTTCAGTATAACATTGTATTATAACAAAAGCTTTCTTTATTAATTGCGTCCCCTCTTTGCAGGGCTCATGAGGAGGCCAATGCAGCCCGCAAGCTCACAGCGGAGCAGAGGAAAGAGAAGAAAGTCAAGAAGTTAAAAGAAGACCTCATTAATGGTGTCCACGTCTCAGTGTACAGGTGTGCATTTATAGGGAGAGAGAGAGCACATACTGTGGTTCAAATATACTGTATAGTGCAATATGTGTGTGTGTCTGTCACACAACATAGAAGTGTGTCTAATTTAAGGACCTTACCTTTACCTCTACAGGATCCGTAACCTGCAAAATCCTGCCAAGAAGTTTAAAGTGGAGGCAAATGCCAACCAGCTGTACCTGACGGGTACAGTAGTTCTGCACAGAGATGTCAACCTTGTTGTGGTGGAGGGAGGTAAGTGACAACACGTGCAAGTGCCAAACCAAGCCTGTCAGTGCTCTCGGTTAAATTGATTGATCTGTTACACACCACAGCTGGTACTTTTAATGACATGTGATTTCTAACCAACATTTGCTGTGAGGGGAAAAATGTTTGTGGTAAATTTCTTTATTTTATGAATTCTTTTAGATTTTGCTGATCTACTATATGAGTCATATATGCAGGTGAATTAGTAGAGGGATCTTTATCATCAGTAATATTGTCCTTTTTATAGGCTCAATAAACAGGTGCCATAACTTTTTCACACCTCTGCAACATATTTTTATTATTATTATTTTATTGTATATTTGATAAAGTTGCATCTGTTAAGCGCTCACTGGTCGGCACCTTACTGTGTATATGTTGTCAAAAATAAAAAAAATGACCGTCTCTATGGGATTGTCATACAAGATTATAAGTACAGAAAGCTAGAAGGGACTCGGAGCAGTATTACCAAAGACAACATATTGGAGACCTAACAGCATGAACTAAATGAAATCAAAATTTTTTTACATCACAGTTGTTGAACTAACAGAAGTTAATGTCAAAGAAGTAGTAAGTGTGTGGTTGCAGGAGGGAAGGCATGGGGAGCCCATAAAAGGAGACTCCTGAGTCCCTTCAGCTTTGTGATTATGACTTACAGCCTACAATGTTTTTCCATTTGATCTACAGAATTATTAAGTTTGTCAAAGTTTAAGCATCTTAAACGAACCCTTTGAGTGTATGAATAGTCACTCTTGGGGTTGTTCCAAACTACTGACATCATGAACGCCTACATGGAAGTTCGAAACAGCTGCACTTCTATGAAGTTTGACGACTTCTACGCTGTGTCATCGTCTCTGTTACCCCCTTGAGATATTAAAGAAGTGGGATAATTATAGTCATGCTTAAAATCTAAATTTCTCCCTCCTTTTTTAGGCCCCAAATCCCAGAAAAAGTTCAAGAAGCTGATGTTGCACAGAATCAAGTGGGAGGAACACAACAGCAAAAGAGATGGTAAGAGTGACTTTCGAGTCTTGTACGTGTTGTCATGTCTGTGTGTTTATTTAAGGTATTTAAAGTCTTTATCATTGATTCTCCAGATCCAGATGGCGATGACGATACAAAGAGGAACAACAAGTGCTGGTTGATTTGGGAGGTGAGCGTTCACACGTCCTGCTTCCTGCGGCGGGCTTGTGTTGTTACTTAAACATATTAAAATTAATATATTCTATTTGTGGTCTCATTCAAGTCTAATGTCATTCGTCTTTGTTCCCCAGGGCACAACTAAAGAGCGCAGTTTCGGGGAGATGAAGTTCAAGCAGTGCCCCACAGAGAACATGGCCAGAGAACACTTCAAGAAACACGGCACTGAACACTACTGGGATCTAGCTCTCAGCAAGAGCGTGTTGGACGGATGCACAGATGACTGAATCCTGCCCGGAGAACACGTCTTTTCAGTCAACGCCCCTTCTACGAGCCCCCCAGCCTCACAGCCAGTTGGTCCTCACTGCTGACTGTGGACAGACAGACTTAACAAAGAGACTTGACCTTAGAAAAAGGACGAACAATAAACATGTGTGGATGTTTTTTTGCAAGAATTTGTGACGTGTGCCTGCGTGCGTGCCTGCGTGCGTGTGTGTGTGCGTGCGTGTGTGTGCGTGTGTGTGCGTTTGTGTGCGTTTGTGTGCCTGCATCAGTGTTCATCTCTTTGGTGGTAGGCTATTTTGTCAGAGATTGTGTTATCTGTTATTGAATACAATCTGACAGATTGCACTGTGTGATGTAAATCACTCACCCAAGGCTTTATGTGATGATGAGAAATGGTGTCATGCTTTGTTATGACTTAACTTTTGTGATGAAATCCCAATGTACACTGATAATAATCCCTATTTCAGTCAAGCAGTTAATACAAAAAAAAAAAAACCAATAACCCATCAGTGAATGAATTGCACTACTGTTGTGCTAACATATTTAGAGTAAACCTGTAAGGATTCCTGGGTAATGTTACAACATTGTTATAAGACATATTGTAGTTATTACAGGTACATTTCGCAGAATTTAAAGTTTCAAAATCCATATTTTTTTTTGTTCTTTTGGACGAAGGAGCCAATCTTTGACTCACCTGTAGCTATATTTCTCTGTAACATTACAGTCACAGCCTTAAATAAACAACAAAATATAACCAACTTGTGTCTGATTATTTTCCAGCTCTAACATCATACATTAATAATAATAATTATCATTATGATTCTGTGTTTTATACCGTCACTTGTAGATGTTAATGTCGTTATAATAAAGTACAAACATGGGGGCGTGTTTGTCGTCCTCATTACGATAGCTCCTTCATCCCGCACCAGCAGCAGAGAGCAGGAAAGATGGCGGCCGGTTCGGGGGCTGCAAGCGGCCACGGAGCTCGCAGCTCCAACGCTGCTCTGGAGGCGTCTTTGGACCGGCGATTTCAAGGAGTATCCAACACTATGGAGTCGATACAGGGACTTTCAAGCTGGTGCATTGAAAACAAAAAGCACCACGGCGTTATCGTTCGCTACTGGATGAAGTGGCTCAAGAAATGTGAGTAGCTTGACCTGCTAGCTAACAGTTAGCTCACTTTAGCTAATTCAAATGCAATTTTTTTTTTATGCGCTGGCCGCGATCAGCTCGCGAAAAACAACCCGTAGCTTCTTGTGGTGGCGTTGTGTGGAGCGCAAGGCAACCCAGCGCAGTCATAAAATCATTTTGATAATTTTCTAAAGTGAATTTTAATTTTCTAATCGACTGTTATCACTTCTTGAAATTAGCCGCTAATAGCAGCTAACGCTAACCTGTCCATGCTAGCAGTGTTTACAGTTGGGCCTCCCGGAGTTCGCGGGCTGGAGGGACCGATTCTGCTGTTTCACGAATAATTCACATGCACTCCACTGCTTATCTCAAATATTGGACGCTTGAGATAAAGGTGGTGACAGCGGGTTTAGTCAGACCTAGCTGCATGTCCGCTTTAGTCGGTGCTTTGTAGCTTGATCTGTGTGCAAGTGCAGTTCTGGATGACTGGCTCTTAACACAACATGCATGCTTGTTTATGTGATGCAATGAGCCAATGTGTTTTTGTAGAGTAGCTGTTGCATAGTTAAACATGGTGGAGGGGAAAAGTTCGCTCAAACCGAATTCATGTGTTCATAAGTTTATTTTTCTATTGAGCATAAAATATTTTATAAACCCAAATAATTTATTGATGCACTTTAGAATATTTTCTCAAACGTTACCGACCAAAGTGCTTCTCATTGTTATACTAAAAATACCTACTGTGTATTTGTAAAGCAAGTTTACTTAATAAATGTAATAGTTATTATTATTATTATTATTATTATCATTATTATTATAACTTATGTGGACCACGTGGGTTTAGACATTAAAGTAGTAGTATTATATTATAGTAGTAGTAGTATTAAAGTTCAACTTGTCCTGGTTGGTTATGTCAAACATCAAAGCAGGAGTTTTGGATATATGTAGACAGTGTCACCAGATAGCCCTTGTAAACTAGTGTTACTTGAGTCTGACAAGTGTTTGGCCTCATTTCTAATTCAGGGTGGTTGTGCATTCCCTCACTAATCCGCTCAGTGTCGACCACATTATTCTGCTTTATGTTGGAAATGACAGTTTGTCTGCTACTGAAACATTATACCAGTCCTGTATTGTGGTTACTGCTTCGTTATATTGACATTACAGCAGAGCGCTCCCATCTTACAGCAGTGTCAACACATTGGCTCCATGTAGCTCTGGCTTATGAGGTGTTGTGAGTCCTGTATAACCAAGATTACTTTACACAACACCTTTGCAGAAAATTACTGCTCCCTCTTCTTTAGCTTGTGCATTTAGAGAGACATCCAACAGATACCATCAGTTTATTGGTTATGTCTTTTACTTTGTTGTTTTGCGAAATCACAGCTCATTTTGTCTGTTTCCATCCCCTCCAACAATCTACCTTCTTACTCGTGAATAATATTTCTGATGTTGCTATTTTGAATTTATGTTGTTACTGTTTACTTACGTACTTAAGTAAAGTATGCATGAAGCTGATTTTTTTTTTAACAGATTTGCAGAAATGCACAAGGTGTCTAACTTAACACTTAAAGAACAATTTGGTGGAACATTTGTTCAGTAATTGTTGTGTCATAGACTGACTAGTTTCTAAAACCTGGAGTGATGAATGGTTCAGTTTATTAGATTTACAGATTTCATCAGATTCTCAGCTGAGTGCAGGAAGAACAAGAAGGCAACAGAGTACGTCACACATAGTTTGTGCTTCGGTTGTTGATGTTGGTGAATGCAGGAATTAATTTCATGGATGTTTTTAGTGCTTGATAATTTAAATTTGAGCTTTCTTTTTTGTTAGAGTGATAAATTGGTGAAATTCACAAACTTCAAAATTATTTTTTTTCCTATTCTGTGGAGAAATCATAATTTTGTGACACTGTGTCATTAGAACAATGTTTTTATTATATTTACTCATCACTGTGGGTTGGAAAAGTTTGGTTCCCAACATATTTTGGAAAGCCTGTTGGTACAAAGTTTAACTTGTGTGAGGATTGATGGCCTACTATCATGATTTAAATATCTAGAAACTGTTACTGCATCAAATAATTCCTGTTAGAAGTTTGTTTGAAGCAGCATTTAACAGATGTATTGGATTGAATTTGCTTGGAATTTGTTACATCATGCTAATATGGATGTTTATACAGTATGTATGGATGCCAATAACAAAAATCATAACATCTTATTGGAAAATTGACATGCAAGCTAGATGCATCCAATTGTTGTTCACACATTCAGTTCAAACGTGTTGATTCAAACTTATAAGTGTGAAAGGAAATCATTACAAATATTGAAAGCCAAAGAAATAATTCCCCATATGCAATCTTAACTGGAGGGGAAATCTTTTTCTCTTTAGTATGGAGTTTCTGTTATTGTATGTATTTGCTGAAACATCAGGAAATACACAGTTAACGTCAGCATTTGTGGTAAAATTTTATGTTACCTTGAAAAACTTTGTGCTGCATATCCGCTAGATCTTTTACAGGCCTCAGCCCAAAAATGTGGAGATTTTAATTATTTATCAGGGAGGTTCTTGTTGAAATGCCAGTGTCTCAGGAAAATCATCACGTAGGCATTTTTACCCATCCGCTCTTCTGCCCAGTGCCCACAGAGCAATGCATGATAAAAGCTTATGCTGACAGCACACAGCAAACTGCTGCACGCTGGCTGAGCCATTGTTTTCTAAAGGAGAGCAGTGCCAACTAACCAATCTACCGATCAATAATTGCTGGCTGGGCTGGTTGGGTTCTGTCTCGAAAAAAGTCCTTAAATACCTATAAAAATAAAAATAAAAATGTATGAAGTGCATGTATTCAGAGTAAAGACAATCCATGCCAATCAGTTTCCGAAGCACATAACAGGGTTGAAGTCATACAGAGAATATTTAGCCTGGGACAACAAAGAAACAGAAATATGATTCACTGTTGGATTTTAATCGCTCTCCACCGAAAAACAATAAAAATGCCACTACACGGTGGATAGACAGTGGTTTGTGTTTCTTTGTTAAACAGTCCAGATGTAATAATGACAATTATGAACATGCCCACAGCCTCAACTCTTGGTCTTATATGGAAAACATAGCAAGATCACTTTTCCAACACCAAAAGTTCACCCTAAATTTATCAGATGAGTCTTTCTGGGGAGGTTGTGTGTCTTTCGGGGAAGCCGAGCTCCTCGCAGCTTCCCCCATTAGGTTGCATTCATTTTAGTATGGTATGTAATGTCATCTTTTGGTTTCATAGTTGGGCTTAAAGTGGTGGCAGGCAGCAGTGTTTAGGCGTCATTGGGCACATTGTAATTCAAATGGTCTGAGAGGAAAAACTAGATTTCTGCACCTCCTCTCGGCTCAGTTTACAGGCTTTAGAAAACAGAGCCTGTGACGGGAGACTTTGGCCAATCGTAGGTCATTTCAGAGAGAGGGCTTTCCTGTGTGCTGTTTTTGCAGGGCTACCGACTGTGGGTTTGGTGGAAGGGGCTTGGTGAAGTGGTACGAGGCATCTGAGAGAGAGGACAGGATTTGCCTCCTGCAGCTTTAACTATTTGTGAATGGTAATGCAGTTGAGGAGAGAGACTGATGAAAAAGCTCTTCAGATGTGTGGGAAAGATGTGTGGTCGTGAATGATCGAAGTACTCGCAGTAGATCTTCAAGCACCACTGCCAACATGCCGTCTCTGGGATATTTGTAGAATAAGTTATGTTTTGTATGCTAGAGGGGCACCGGTCTAAACTGTCGCATCAGTGTCCGTGCTGGGCAAATTAACTTGTTTGATCAATGCTCTATTAACTACTCTATTATTACATGTTCCAGTGTTTAGTTGAGAAATGTTACCGGTGTGAAGATACTTTCAGTGAGATAAAAAAGGCACAATGCAGCCTAATAAGAAACATATGTTTAGATTCAGGTGTACCATATGTTGTGTGTGTTATGCTTTAGGATATGGTAGACACCGCATATTCATATATTATATAACACATGTACACTAGACTATAAAAATAATCACTATAATTACTACCCAAATACATTTCTTGGCATCAGATGATTTGTTTAATGTAGTTTGTGGTTGTAATGTATCTGGATTGCCTTAATACCAAGTATTGGATGAATTGCATTTATTTAATTTAAACTTGACACATTTTATTATCGGATAAAAGATATACAAGGGGAGAAATACTCAACATACATAAAATCCACAACAAATGTTTTTAATTAATACATTTTGAAGCAGAACAATATTAAATTGAATATTCTTTGTTCCTTTTTATGGTGTGAGGGGAAACATGCATCCAATATAATCTATCTAATCTAAACATATATGGTTTATATTAAATAAAGCCCTGGCCAAAATGCTACTCCTACTTTATCCTACTTTAACATGTTAATAAAAAAACATATCTTCTACAATTTTCCCAGCATGTATTGTTTCAGTGGGAAGATATGCAAAAAGCAATATGTTCTTTAAGTTAGACGGATCAAACGCAGTTATCACTAACTAAGATGAACATTTCTAGACTTTTTCTGGCATGAGAAATACTTTTAAGTTGTTAAAAAAGGTTTCATATTGTTTGACGTTCTGTAAATGCCTCGGCCTAAATTAAGTTGGTGCTGCAGTTTTGTGGATATTTTCTAAATGAATCGACTGTCTCACTCTCGATTTGCGTTTGTTGCTTGAATGGAATTAGATGTAAGACGTCTGCACATATATTGTAATTTTAGAAATGTAGCTTTGCCGTGTGGGAATCATACGGTCTGTATTTTCAAGTGGGGTGTGTGTGTGAGTGTGTGTGTGTGTGTGTGAGTGTGTGTGTGTGTGTGTGTGTGTGTGTGAGAGAGTGTGTGTGTGAGAGTGTTAACACTGAGTAGGGCATTGTTTTCTGTTCACTCTTTGAGTTAATGCTGATACTTCTATTTTAAAGTAAAAGACTGAAAACATTTTAAAAAACTGTAATGATCTCTGTGTGTTGTACAGTGAAGAGTTTATTTGCATATTGTCAGTATATACTGATATGATTTTATCTGTGTTGTATCAGATTATATTAGATATTCTTGCTTTCTGTGTTTTTGTTTGTTTATCTTGTGGAGCCGACTTATTTGATTAAACATAATACACAGTGTACACTTCTTTCACATAGACTATAGCACTGATAAGGTTTTAGTCTTGTGTCTTTTAGACTAACTGAGATGCTAACCTCTGCTAAAATGTGACAAAATATTACATAATAGGAAGATATAGACTTTTTTATAGCGCAGCCTTCTCTCCCTGAAAGTCAGAGAACATTAGCCAAATATCCTGCTTACTGGCTGTAATTGAACTCTGATAGTAAAATCAGTGTACAGAAAATGAATCTATTTTAGGGAGCACTGGAAGTCAGTGTGTCCTTGCCAGTATTGTATTTCTTTTGGAAATGTATGTGTAATACTAAAGTTAGGTGACTATGGAAACAAATTTCCAGGTCTATAAATGGACTAATCAGTCAAGCAAGAGCTGACGCGGTCTTCAGCCTTCAGTTTAATCAAAGCTGTTTCTCCTCACTGAGAGTAATTTTAATAAATCAGCCTTAAAAAGCTTTTAAATGAAGGGCTGTTGTTATCTTATGTGACTATGAGTATGAGTATCAGTGTATATAATGGTGCATATAAAACAAATTCTTGTCATTATGTCATGGTTTTGCCTGTTGCATTGTATTATTATCAATATTATAGCCTGGCTGGTACCAATTTTGATATTTGAGAGTTGAGAAAAAAATGCCAGATAATGATACAAATGTTATGGTATGACCAAGAAATGTACCAAGCAGATAATTTTACAGATGAAAAATAAATTCTTTCTGGTAGACAAGTATGACCTCTTTTTAAATGACCTTAAACAAACAATATCTTCGTAAGTAACAGTAGAAACATTGCCTGGGTCAAAACTATTTCTTACATTTGTGTACCCATAGGAGGAATTTATTCTCTGTCTTATCCTTTCTTCTTTGTCTGCCTTTTTTAGCTGACAACAATCACCGCTTGAATCTCTTCTACCTTGCCAATGATGTGATACAGAACTGCAAAAGAAAGAATGCTATTGTCTTTCGTTCGGCCTTCGCAGAAGTCCTTCCTAATGCTGCTCAGCTCATCAAGTGAGTACACACAGTTTTTATTTAGCTGTAGTATTGGACCAACATTACAATGTTTTTTTTTTTTTATCTAAATGGTTGTTATTGGTTAAAAATAAAATGCCTGTCTACTCTTTCTGTTGCTATTGAGATGTACAATGTTGTGTTGTCATTCTGCTTTATTGTCAGAGATGGGAAGGTCCGCAGATCAGTGGAGAGGATTTTCTTGATTTGGGAGGAGAGGAGTGTGTATCCCGAGGAGGTCATTGCCCAGCTCAAGGCCAGCTTGAACAAAAAGGAAAAAGAGCGAGAAAAGCAGAAGGAGAAAGAAAAGGAGAAAGCAAAAGAAAAAGAAAAGGAAAAGGAAAAGGAAAAAGAAAAAGAAAAGGAGAAAGAAAAGGAGAAAGAGAAAGAAAAAGAGACTCCCCGGGCAAATGGTCAGTTTGATTTTTTTATTTTTTTTATTTTTTTCCTCTGCACCCTGAAGTAGTCACCACTTAATCAAATCTAAAAGTAAAATAACTTCCCAGTTTGAACCACATAATAATGTATTACAATTTACAGCTGCATTTCTCATTGTATTATTAAGTTGATCTTTTACTTTTATTCTCCAGCCCCAACCAACACCAAAGCTGCCCTCAAGTCCAAGATTGTAGCAGAGTTCACAGTAAGTTTTTACTCGTGTTGTCTTGCATTACTTTGTCTTACATGTTTTGTTTGAATGTATCTAAACCATTATCAGTGCTGTAACTCTTTGTCATCTCTGTTCATTTGCACTCTGTTTCTTTTCTAGCCCCATTCCCTCATCGAACAGTTGTCAAGATATAAGCGAGCGGTTGCCGAAGAGGAGTTCAGGGAGAAGCAGCTGGCAGCTCTCAGGGTGGATGTGTGCAGCACGGAGGCTCTTAAGAGACTTAAAGGTCAGATATCACCAAGCTTATTTCTGCATCATCACACGCTTATGGTCCTGTGTCCTCGTCATGCCTTGTCAAAACACAGGAGTTTACACACAGTTAGTGGAGGTGAATTAGGACTATTTCTACTAATATTCCTTCACTGGAAAGTAAGATTTGTGGATTATCCTAATTAAGTGGGATATTGTTGCTGCTGGTTTTTTTGTTTTCTGATGAATGCAAACGCTGTTCAGTGTGTAGCATTTAGGAGGATATATTGGCAGAAATGGAACATAATATTCATAGTTATTTTTTTAATCAATTTAATTTTGAAAATAAGAGTCATTGTGTTTTTACCTCGGAATGAGATGTTTTTATCTACAGAGGGAGCGTTTGTCCGTGTTGCACCGCCATGTTATAGCAGTAGCCCAGGATGAACACACCAACACTGACTCTAGATAGGGCCTGGGTTTTTGTGGCCACCATAGTTACTGATGTATGCCACTAAATGCTACACACCGGTCCTTAAACTGTTACTATTGGTTCAATCAAGCCGATCAAGACTTATGATTTACAACTGTTAGTCTCGTTCATTTATTTTAATTGTGAGATGTTACCCGTATTTCTTTGATATTGACGAGGTCTCATATTGAACCGTATTAAACTTAAATAAACCTTGTGTAGAAATGTTTGCTTGTTTGTCCTCCTTTATTTCAGACAAGGCAGGAGGGAACAAGTTTGCTAAGGACTTTGAGGACGGCAGTCTGAAGCTGCAGGAGTTTGTCGGCTTCCTGGACAAAGAGTTGAAAACAGGGCCTCCTCTGCTGGAAGCTTTGGGAAACGCAGACATTTTCTACGAGATGCAGTACAAGGAGGTTAAAATTGTGGCCAATGTGAGTCTTAGGTTAAAATCAATTTCGCAAGATCCTTTTTGATATTTTGTTTTTGTGGAGAGAAATTGACAATGGTGTTATTTGGTTCTTGTTGATTTATGTTAAATGCTATTATTTCTCTAATTAATAGGAAATTAATCAACAGAATCGTGACCCAGACATTTCATGTAATACCTGTGTTGCTTGTAAAGGTTGATCCTAGAAAGCAATATAAGTGTTACAATAGATACAACTGAAATATCCTTTTTTATCTTCCTCATATCTCCCATCTGTTTCCTCTATTCTCTCAGGCGTACAATGCCTTTGCCAACCGTGTGGCCAGTCTTAAAAGGAAATTAGATTCCCTCAAGTCGAATCTACCTGGACCCGAGGACTCTCCCATCCCCTCACCCTCTGAAGACGCCCCCTCTCCCACTGGCTCTGACTCACCCTTCCTGGGACTGGGGACTAGCAGAGCCCAGGTGGATCCAGAGCTGGATGGCAAGGCCATGGATGAAGGAGAAATGCACAGTGACAACAGAGACATGGAGGACATGGATATGTCTGATGAAGAGGCTGATGCTGCCACAGAAGGGGGTTAGTGGCTACAGAGTGTTATAGTGGGGAAATAATTGTCTTTTCCATATAGATCTATAATAGGCTGCCCAGTTGTAGTGTTGTGATTCATATTTGAAAATGTATCAGCTCTTTGAATTATTTTTACTAGCAGATGACAAGAAAGAGAAGGCGTCCGCTGCTGTTGCCAAGACTACAAAGTCAGACGTAGCATCAAAGCTTCCCACCACACCCACGAAAGCTTCAAAGACCCATTCTACTGCTGCCGCCACGGCCACCCCAGTGACTCCCACCGCTGCGACTGCTCAGAGCGCTCCAACAACCCCTCTGGGAGTCAATCTGGAAAAGGTGGACCTGGGAAAGATCAGCTCCATTCTCAGCTCACTCACATCTGCCATGAAGAATACAGGTGTGTTTGGGGGGAAGATGAGTGTAGTAAAGAGGGAACCTGTAGCTAAAAGTTTCAGACAAAGAAATGTGTTTGGGGATAGTAGAAGTCCTTGTGACACATAACTGACAAATTATGAAATTATCACTGATGGATTTTCATTGTGTTTGAGCTGCAAGCAACTACAGATGTGTTACCTGTCCCACTCCCACTGTAGCAACGAGGGGTTTGTAAGTTTGGCCATAAAATCAGACTGTGACTAGTGGCATGACTCATCTTCAGGCATGTCTTTAAATTGTTTGACTCTCTTTTAGTTTGAAATTGAAAGTTACTCAACTATAGAGTAATTATAACCTCTGAGAAAGATATAGATTTGAGTAATTTGAATTGTTTATTTAAGAGATCTCGATATAGTAAATCTAATCAATTAATGTGTAAATGAATGCATTTTATGCCATACATTTAAGTATTGAATTAGTATTTTAGATTAATTTAAAGGTCCAGTGTGTAGGATTTAATGGCATCTATTAGTGTAGATTGAAACAGCGACCCATTGTGTCTGTAGAAATAAATAAGTTATTCTAAGTTCATGAAAACACAGCAGTTCCTATATTCAGGTGATAATACACTAATGAAAACCATTCATGCCAACCAATTATCCTAAATATTACACACCTGACCTTTTAAGTAATTTGGATTTTCTGAGCCACCCTTTAACTCCGTCCCTCTCTGTCTTTGAATTTCTTTCAGCAGCTAGCCCTGCTCGACCATCACCAGGAACACCCACAACTCCCTCTGGCCAATCAGCAGCCTCCAAAGCGACCCCTTCGAGCCCTGCCCTGGCCAGCATCCTGTCACGTGTTGACATCACACCTGAAGGCATTCTTAATGCTCTGTCTAAAACAAACACACCAGGTAAGATACATAGAGCACCCTGTACTTGTATTTTTAATGACACCATCACTTTATTTTATATTACTGATTATTTTCTGTCTTGGTGCAGGTTTGTCCTCTCTCCTGCAAAGTGTGACAAACACCTCCTCTGCTCCTCCCACCCGAACCTCCCCAGAATCATCAGCTGTTAAAACCCCGCTCACCCCAACCACCCCAAAAACAAAACCCACTCTGGGCAACAGCCTCAAAAGAGACACACCTGGGAGAACCAGAGACTGGGAGAAAGAGAGACAGCTGTCCCCTCCTCCTCCACCCCCGCCTCGCCCCTCAGCTCCTTCCGTCTCTCCCCCCAGCCTAGAATCGAAAATCAACAGCTTCTTGCAGGGTAATCCAGGTTTTAGTCTTGCTCTAGGTGATGTCAGTCCTGATGGGGTGGATGGGACCCCAGTGAGAGATGAGGCTGCTGGCACCCCCACCCAGGATGAGATCATGGACACACCTGGTAGTGTGCCAGAGTCTCTAGGGTCATCTGGAGGTCATAACCTCTCACCCACTGCCTACCGCAGCGAACCCTGGGATGCTGTGATCACCCCGTCAGGAAGCAACAGCAACGGAGACTTCATGGGCTCTTCCTCCTCCTCTTCCCGGTATGGAGCAGGGAAAAAGAGCGGCGCAAAATTAAAGGACGATGAAGTGAGGAATGTGAGGAAGCAGGTCTCCTCCTCCCCCAGTCACGACAGGAAGGGTAACAAAGATGGACAACACAGCCAGTTGAGGATGATGGGAAACAACAGAGGGAACGGAGAAAGGAGACTCTCTGGAAGCTCTCGTAAGGCAAGCAGTGGCTCAGATGATGGAAGTCTGAGTGCGAAAAGAGAGGACAAGGGGAAAGGGTCTCCAGCAAGTGGGAAGGAGGGCCAGTACCATCGTATTGAGACACTAGTGTCGCCCTGCACTGAAGGGGCACCCATTCAAACTCTAGGCTACTCTAACCGCCCACTCGCTGGAGAGCGCATCAAGACGGTAGAGAGCATTCGCGTGATTGGCCGAGGCTCTCGGCGAGGGGGAGGGTCAGGCGGTCGGCCAGGGGGAGCAATGTGGTATGAAGAGGAGGAATACATGGAAGCTCAGCCTCCCTCACCCCATGGTGTCCCCCCTCCTCTTAACATTGGTCAGGGGGGCAGTGAGGACTTAGCCCCCTCCATGCCTCCTCCCCCACATCTCCTCCTCCCACATCTCCACCCTCCTCCGTCCCATCCGCACTCACATCCTCCTCCCCAATCTCCGTTCCAAATGCCGTACCATGCGGAGAACATGCAGACTCCTCCCCCGTCACTCCTCCACCAACATCCTCCTACATCCCCTTTCTTCGGCGCTCCTCCACCAATCCCTCGACCCCCTCCGCCCCCCGTACCACAGCGCCCTTCCCCTACACCTTCCCACTCCTCTGTGCCCTCTGCAGTCATGGTGGGGGGAGTGCTGGTCCCTGTTGACCGCCCCCTTTCTCTTCCTCCCCCAATCAGACCCGAAGGTGTGGATCGAGGCGGGATGGGGCCCAGAGGAAGCAAAGTAGGCCCTCCACCTCTCATGTCATCGTTGTTAGGGGAACCCCCTAAGCTGCACCGTCCTGGCACAGTTAAAGAGCCATTTGTCCCCCGTCATGCACCCCCCCTCCACCGCCAAGGTGCCCCTGGTGTTCCTCTACCCTTACTGGGCAGAGTGAAGGAGCCTCTGAATCTACCTCTTCCATCCCCCTCTCCCTCTCCCACATCCTCCACAACCTCTCCCTCCACTCCTAACTCCCCGGCAGTCGACACTGTCCCTACTCGCCTTCCAAATCAGTCTGCTGCCCCTCCTCTCCACAAGCCCCCCACTAGTCCTCCAGCTCAGTCCCGCAACCAAACCTCTAACCCCGTTCCCCTCCTCACCTTACCCAGCCCTCGACCCCCGATCCTCTCACTCCCCATCTCACAGAGACCTCTGCTACGAGGCCGAACCCCCTCTCCGCAGATTAACCAAGATCGCCCCATAGGGGGTTTCCGTGGGGGCAAGCGGCCTGGTCCTCCATTCACAGGTGGTCCCTTCCATGCTCAGAAGAGACCCTTCCTACCCCCACGCTACTGAAGTGTGGTCATCTATGACATGCTGAACGAGAAGTGCAAGCGCCCTGCGCTGAAGTGCAGAGTGTGTGTTAGCCCTGCTGGTATGAGCCCAGATATCTTTACTCTGTTAATTAGCTTGAATTAAAACTACCTTAGGTTGTGTGTAAATAGCTGATTAAATCTTCATGCTTCAGCTCGGTAGCCAGCCAGTCATCTTACACTGTACAGTACAGTTACATAGTGCAGAGTGTTGTGTAACCCTCAATCTATCACTTTTCTCCCCATCTCTCCATACACATTAGATAAAAGTCTGGAGTGACCATGGGAAGAAAACGCAGATAGTTCAGACAAGAAATTAAAATATACTTTTATTTAGAGTTTGCCTACCTGTGTGACTGTTGGGTTACTTAACCTGAGAGAGAGCAGGACAGTGAAAGAAACATGTATGGGTCTCATGGCATACAGAGGAAAGAAACTAAAAGCAATAGTTAAGACATTTGGGGAAATAAGCTTATTGGCTTTCTTACTCAGAGTTAAATGGGAAGATCAATACCATTTGTCTGCTGAATATGAAACTACAGCCGGCTGCCACTTAGCATGAAGACTGGAAACGAGGGAACAGCTATCCCTGATCTGTCCGAAGGTTTAAAACAAAATGCCACGACTAAATGCTCTAAATCTCACTAATTAAGACACTGTATTTTGTTTGTTTTTAATCCATACAAAAACTGAAGTGTAGAATTGACAAGCTGTGGCGATAACGTGCCCAGACAGTTTTGTCTCTAAGCGCGGTGACTTCATTAAATTTGCCCGGCAACCTCACAGCAACAGCAATACTCCAGGAAGTCACTGCACCACAAAAGGCAGGTGGATTTTGTTACCTTTAGACAACGGAAGTCTAACTGTCCACCCCTGTTTCCAGTCTTTATGCTAATCTAATCGTCTCCAGCTTCATATTTAACATACAGACAAGCCAAATTGTTCCTTTTTAAAAATGTTTGGTTTTGAAAGTAAGTTCCAAAGTAATCTCTTCTTCCATGAGTGTATGGGTGTGTGCTGTGTGCCCCTAAAATGGTGTTTCTCATTTGAAGTGATGAGATTTCTGTTGCAGCCGAGGTTAAAACCTTATTCCTATTTCCGGAGTAACTGCTGTAAATAATATTCTTCTCTTGCTCTTTTTTTCACACTTTCTCCCACTGTATATCTCTAAGCTTGTAAATATAAAAAAAAAAAAAAAACTGAGATGATACAGCTTTTTTCTCTCCAAGCTCTTGTTTCTGTTTAATGAGGACAATGATCGTCACTCACGCAATCATCCCCCCCCCCCGTCTTTACTGTGATTGAGGCCTTGGATAAGCTTTTAGCTCCAGAAGAATTTCTCCACAGTGTCTGTCGCACCTTTCTGTCCTCCTTTTGAAAAACCACCACGCAGAAGAGGAGGTTGAAGATAATTCTGTGTTTTTATTTCCAACATAAATGTCTGCCTGTCTGCGCGCTTCAAGTTAGACTGAGTCATGAAGATACTCAGTAGTGGATGGTGGGCGGGGGGGTGTATTTCAGCTTGAACCACACTTCTTTCTAGGCTTCAACATGTACTGACTTGAATAAAATCCAGAGTTTCAATTCAACCGGGGGGGAGGTATTTTATTTGGTATCACTTGAATTGCGCTTTGTTGTAATTTATTTGCGCTGTTCAGTTGATTTATTTTTTTCTGCTTGTTTTTTCAGACAAATAGTTTTCATATATCTACACAGCTGCTGCCATTTTCATATTACATTAACATTTAATGCCTTTTATTATTTTTTTTTGCGCTGTTTTTTTTCTACTAGAGGAATTGGCAATTTTCCATTCGCAGCAGCACCCACAGATGGTAACAGGGGAGGGGGACGAAAACATTTGAGCTAATTAGGACTGTTTTGAAAATGGTTTATTTACATACTACAGTTGTTTTGGCCCCATCTTCTGTTTTGTTCCTTTTGCTAATTTCATGCTTTTGCCCTCAAGCCCCTGTGCTTACCTTGTGCTCACATGGCTTTGTCCAGAAACACTTCCTGCACCTCTCAACACTTCTGATGGTAAAAAAAAAAGGGTCCGCATTCCTCCCCCCTTGTGCAGGAATTATTGACGCAATGCTTCCCCCGCCTGTTATGTAGTTTACCCCACGCAGTGAGAGGTGCATGCTGGGTGTTGCTGCTCAAAGTGTGTGTGTGTGTGTGTGTGTGTGTGTGTGTGTGTGTGTGTGTGTGTGTGTGTGTGTGTGTGTGTGTGTGTGTGTGTGTGTGTGTGTGTGTGTGTGTGTGTGTGTGTGTGTGTGTGTGTGTGTGTGTGTGTGTGTGTGTGTGTGTGTGTGTGTGTCACTGAGCACCTGCAAACGTATGCACGTACGCATAAAGTTGGTGAATAGATACATTGTAAAAATGTAATAATAACAACAAAGAGCATATTTATAATTACAGTGTTAGCACATCAGAGTTCTGATGTTTTACTGAATGTTACACAAGTCTGTTTGCCACCGTCTGTAAACTGTATGTCTTTTATCTGATAGTTTCTTTTGCAAAAACAGCTAAGTATCAACCCAAATCAGTGTGGTGTGTTCACATTGCACACAGGAAACAGTAGATATGTTGTTACAAACATCTGCTTACTTCATCATTTTTAATTGTCCCTGTAAATAGCCTCTCTGTTTTTTCTCTTCACCTCTACTTTAACAGATTGAGTTTTGAAATTGCTGATGGTGTCTGTACATTTGATAAGTTTTAATTGCTCTTACTGCTGTTCTCATCAATGATGCTATATCACTGGTCTTTGAGTGTCCAATCCTTTCTGGTGTGATGAACATGCACACAGTTAATATATGCATATTATATGGGGTCAATACGTCTTCATATTCTTTTTTTATCTTTTTTTTTGTTCCCACAAACCATATTGCAGGATCATAAGGACAAATACACTTTTTAGTGCTTTCATGGAGTGACTTGCATCCATTTTCCTCACACATTTAGTATAAACGTTTTGTTTGTGGTTGCACTGTTGACTGTAAGCAGTTGGTGCTCTGTCTTTAATTTAACATTGGAGGTGATTTGCTGTTTCCTATCACTTTCTTTTCCTCTTGCAAAGACCTCAACTCAAACTTTTCTCTCATTTATTTTTTGTTTTTTTGGGATTGTCGCTAAACATTTGCACACTACAATGCACTTGCTGATGTTGCCACGTTTTAGAAATGCAACTTTCTAACACTGTCAGCTTCACACATAGGTGATGACCACTAAATGGGCCACATTCAACAGATGAACATAAGACATTGTCACATAGACTGATGACCCAGTTCCAGTGGAAGAGCCTTAAACTCAGTCACAACACGAACAGAGTGACACTAATCAATGGCTGTACAGTTGTTTTACATAGTTTTATTATTATTTAGTTAGTTAATATGATGTGAGGATGAATTAACTTAATGCAGCAATGTTTCATTATGCACTCTGTGCCGTTATTCTACAATTAACAGTGAACATTGTCATATGTTATTAATGCAGCTGTTAGGTCTTTAATGGTTAAATACGGATATTGCACCAAACTACCGGCTCTCCTTGTTTTGAAGTTCTCTGACAAACGCCAACAAGAACTCTTGCTTGTAAACATTTAGCTTGTTTATACAAAAAGTTCTTGCGTGTTTTTCACATTGTATTTTTACCATGGCCACAGAGAAGTCCACAAAGGGTTAATCAATAATTGGGTCCAATTGGTCAGTGAGAGTTGAAGCTAAAGGTAATGCGGTCTGAGTGCACAGTGTTTTTACAATTAGATACTTAAATGTATTTTAATATAGATAATAGACTTAATTTCTTCACATTGTAGATGGACCATATTCTCTCAGAAAGTGCTGTAGCTCCCCCAAGTGGCAGTTCAGTGGTACTTCAACTCTTAACTCACACACATCCCAGTCTCCATTATGTGCTACTGTAATTACAGTACTAGTAGTGTTGGCCAATTCTACTGAAAATGGTGAAAGCCAAAATATATTAGCATCCCTGGTCATATGCATTAAGTTGACCACAGCAGGAAGTTATTAGTTGTACAATATTCAGTGATCAATGCATTCAGGTGTAAAGTTTAAGCTCTTGTAAGAGTTCCCACGGGGGTTAGGCTTCAGATTGTGTCCAGTATTTAAACAGCAGCTGCAGTGAAAGTCGTTTTCGTAGGGTTAAAATATTTACTTACTGATCCAAAAAGACCCCAATGCCTCGGGTACTAAACCAGTAGACTTTAAAAGCGGATCTAGATGCAGCGGATGGCTCTTAAAGCAAAGTGCGCAGCTCCATAATGGAGCACATCGGCTCTGCTGCTCTGCCTTGTTTCCTGGCGTAATGCTGCAGCTCGGTGTCGCTCTGTGTGAAGACCAGAGGATCACTGAACTGCAGCTGATCTCTGTGATTAATGGATGAGCTTGTGTTGTGCTTCACGTGCTGCGAACTACTCAAAGTATGAACTGTTTTAATGTCATATTTTTAATCCAGTCTGAAAGAACTGACCCGCGTGTGCATGGCTTTGAGTTTTAACATCCGGATATTGTTTATTTACCCCCGCCTTCATCCCACCCCACTGCCCCTCCTCCCCCTCTCTAACAGCTGTAGATGCTCCGTATGTGCAGCTCCTGTGTGGACACGCGCTCTGGTGTGGAAGCTCGGGAGCGTGCACGCGGCTTCATAGCGACGTCATGACGTCCCCGCTGCTGTCCTAATCTTTGCTTCCGGTGTTATGGCCGCTCGCAGAGAAGGGTGACAGTAATGTGGGAGACTAAAGAGATGGGCGCGTGTGTTTAGGCAGGTGTGTTTGGGATGGCGGTGACGCAGCTGTTCCGGCTGGTTATTTGTCGGGCGGCGGCTCGTGCGACAGTTCTCGCGCACAGGAGGTACAGCCAGGTGCGCGAGCTTGTTATTACTGCAGTACAGTACGCAGAGCTAACCATTAGCCACCAGGACATTATGTGAGCTGTCTGCTGACTACTGCAGCTGCTGTTTGTCAGATGTGGGAATGTTTAGTGCTTCGATATTTAAACTATTTGTTTATTTAAAACGTATTTCTCTGCAGAGTTCATGTCCAATATTTTCAGGTATATAAGATAAGATTTGGCACTTCATTTTTTTTTTTTTTTTTTTGGACAGCACTGTTTATGAGTGACATGGACCCAACCATGTCATCTACTTCTTTCTTCCTGCTCCCTCTCTCATTTTGGGGATGTGGTTCACTAAAAGAGTAAAGTCACAATATTCTTGACTATCTCCAAATGGATAACTTGGAGGGGGTTTGATAGTCAGTATTTCATATGTAACTTACATTTATTTATTATTTCATTAATTTTATATCAGAGTAATTAAACTTAAAAGATTGAGGCATCAGTTTACCTTAAAGGAACCATTAGGCCGAGAAAGACAACACAGATACTTTATCTCATTGCTTCATCACAATATTTATATCGGTGGATCAATATACTCTATTAGGTACACTTAAATAAAACTAATTCTGTATAATACAACAGTAACCCCTCCCTTCACAAAGGTCATAATCAGTTATTGTTGAAACTCTGAACTTCATGGTCATTTTGGAGGATGTGGTGCTGTTGAATTCAATTTTATTTGTATAGCACCAATTCATAACAGAAGTTATCTCAGGACACTTTTCAAATATCTGTGTAATATATCTCTCTATATGTCTAGCCCGTACTCCTTTATAAAATGATTTACAATTGTATTGCACCTCCTGTCCTTCACATCATTTCCATTTTAACCTTTATCTGCATCTTTCCCGTCCGGCTGCAGGTGTGCCCATCGTTATCTGAGCGACTGCAGGTCTTTGAGTCCCTCAAGGAAAAACGAGGCACTAGGAGCAGAGCTGGAGCCACAGAAACGCCCCTCCGTATACGACTGTCTGACGGCCGCACAGTGAAGGGAACAGCTGGTGTTACCACACCTCTCTTTGTCGCCCAGAGTGTCCGGTAAACAGCTAATGCGTACAGGAATGTGTTCTCATGTTTGTTTGTTTGTTTGTTTGTTTGTACTCAAGTGGTCTGTCCTTGCAGGGTGAAAGGAGCTCTGGTCAGTACAGTGAATGGGGAGCTGTGGGAGCTTGGACGGCCTCTAGAGGCAGACTGTGAACTACAACTTCTGGGGTTTGACACAGCTGAGGGTAGACAGGTAATTCCACCTTCTTCATCTTCTTCTTTTTACAATGTTTTTGTGTTCTTTCAGTTTATTTGAAATATACAATGATTGCATGTGCTTTCTAATTCACATCCTTTAAGATGGATCATAATATTCTAAAAGATTATGTCTTTTTCTTTCTTTCTTTCTTTCTTCCTTGACTTCAGTGGAAAACATCATGAGGTCAAGGAAGGAAGTATTTAGAGAGTTTCACTAGCTGTTATTTAGATGTTTTCAGGTCATTTAATTCTAATTCCTAATCCAAAAGGACTTTTCAAAACACACTTTACATCTCTCCACACACCCAACCTACTCTGTCTTTCTTAGGCAGCATGGAGGACAGGAGCGTGTGTCCTGGGCGGAGTGTTGGAGAAGGTATTTGGTGCCGAGGTTTGCAGAGAAGGAGCGTCAGAGTTCGGGCTTTACGTTGACCATCTGCTGGACAATAGGTGAGATATTCCTCTGACTGTCGCTCACACAGGACTGGAAATGTGTCCAGGTCTGTCTGGCATTGACCCACAACAATGTACTCTGTGGAAGCTGTCCAAATATAATCTGGCCTGTGGACTACTTTTACTTGTTCTTTAAGAATTATTGACCTACATAAAAAAACTTTTTTTGGATAATATTTGGCATCGGTTGCTTGGCTCTCCTTCCTTGAAGTGTGTCCGTCCTGACCTTGTTTTGTTTTTCCTCAGATGCCTTCTTTGCAACCCTGTTAACATTTATTTTATACTTCTCTGCTCTTTCACTTTTTATCTATACATTGTTCTGTGCTGCTGCATCAGTGACCCCTTTTCCCTTACAAGGTTATTAAAAGTTAATCTCATACAATCTCCATAGAGCCCCTGACCTGTTTCCTTCACCATAATCATCTTGAAGCTTGTAGTTCTTTTGTCACACACTGTGTCTCTCAGCCATAGATTCTTCTGCTTTAAATTTACCCAAATCTTCCCTTCTCACACACACTCTCTCTCTCCTACACACACACACACACACACACACACTCACTCACTCACTCACTCACTCACTCACTCACTCACTCACACACACCACACACACACACACACACACACACACACACACACACACACACACACACACACACAGCGCCCTGTCTCTGAGTGACATTGAGGAGAGATGTAAACAGGCCGCAGCCCTCAAACTTCCCCTGTCCCGACTGGAGCTGAATACAGAAGAGGTCCGAGAGCTCTTCCAGGTCAGCAATACTAATGACTCTGTTCTAACAATACACCATGACGCAAAAATATGTTCCTTGTTGGAAATTTACAACATTTAAATATGGACATAAAAGAAAGAGAACAAGAGTAAACACAGTCTTCACTATATCCAGCATCCAACTGATAGTTAATTTCTTCCACCCAAGGAAAAACAGTCTTTGTAAATCACAGCGAGATTAACAATGAACAGAATAATATAGTATCACATATCTATCATTCTGAATTGCACTGTACTTGTAGCAGCTTGTGTAACCGTGTTTATATGTGTTAGCTTTGATAACATGTGAGTAGCAGTGATATTACTCACTGTGTAGGAGTGGCACCAGTTTATAGTCTGCCTGTGATATTTACTGCTGTCTCAGTGT